AAAACATTGCTTTTAGAAACAAATTTAGAGTGATGTATGAGAAATTTCAACTTCTTCCATTTGTTTGGGACGCCCCTGCCCCGGGTGGGTGGAACGACTCCACCTGCCCCTGGTGGGGATCCGTCTCATTCGGCACAAAGTTCTGCCGCAGCAAGTCCGACTGGAACACCCTCAAATTCCAGTTACTACGCAATGAGCCATCACCACTCAATCGAACGACCTTCAACCAGCGGATCGGAGCGGGGATTTCCTACCCCCGCCCTACCGGTTCCGGTGAATCTTATGCTCCAATGGAATATCAGCGGCTACTTTCTCCACTTGGCGGAGTTGGAACTCCTCTGCAGCGGTGCGTCCCCCCTGGTGATTGCCCTGCAAGAGGTCAACAACGTCACGGTGGACCGGATGAATAAGACACTTGGCGGCGATTACTTATGGTCCATTAAACAAGGATCTAACCTTCGGAGATCTGTGGCCATAGGAGTCCGTAAAAATGTCCCCCATCAAATGGTTGATCTCGATACTGACCTCCCTATTGTCGGCATTCGGATCCAAGACCCAACTAGTATCTACATCGCCTGCGCCTATCTGCCCTGCGGAAGACTACCCAATCTAGGAACCGAGATTCGCAGAATACTTCGGCAGTTACCAGAACCCAAAATGTTCATTGGGGACCTGAACGGCCATCACCCGGCCTGGGGTTGTCCAAGAGCTGACCCACGAGGGGTCACCATCTGCGATATTTTTGAGGAGGAAGATTTAGTCATCCTAAATCACGGGGGCCCGACGTTCTTTAACGGACGGCACACCACCGCCATCGACGTGTCCGCAGTTAGCCGCTCCTTAGCGGGCAAAATGCTATGGGGCATCAACCCGGATCTGCACGGCAGCGACCACTATCCGGTACAGATCCGGTTATCCGCCGCAATGGCACCGGAGAACACCAGAGGACCACGGTGACAGTATGGAGAAGCCGACTGGGAGGGCTATCAGCTCTCTTACCGAACTCTCGCGCAGACTGAAGAACCTACGGACATCCCAAGTATCACGGGAGTCATCCACAAAGCAGCCAGCACCAACATCCCAAGAACAGGCAGTATTCCCGGGCGGAGGGCACTCCGATGGTGGAATGAAGACACGAAAAGTGCTGTAAAAGCCAGGCGGAAGGCACTCCGTAAACTCAAGCGAACCTCTACGAACGACCCTGCGAGAGAGGAAATCCTCGCAAACTACCGCCAGCAGCACAACAAATGCCGACAGGAAATCCGGACGGCGAAGCAAAATAGCTGGTCGGATTTCCTGGAAAGCATCAACGCCGAACAATCGTCAGCAGAACTGTGGAGCCGCATCAATGCCCTCAGCGGCAAGCAGCGATCATCGCCGCTACAAGTGCAAGCCGACACCGTTACCATCACCGAACCAAACGCCGTAGCAGATGAACTGGGAAAATACTTCGCCAAACTATCAGGAATAGTGGAGTACAGCGAAAGTTTCCAACGACGAGTTGGTCCTTCGCTTTCCTCGGTGCCCACTTTCGGAATTCCCACAGACAACGACGACCTACCGATCAACCAACCATTCTCCTGGGAAGAATTCTCATTTGCTCTTAGCCGGAGCAACGGAAACTCGGCCGGACCGGATGAAATCGGATACCCACTGCTGAAGCATCTACCGCTCGAAGGGAAAACACAATTGCTCGAACTCTACAACCAGCTATGGACCAACGAAGAATACCCGGACAAATGGAGGGAAAGTCTCGTGATCCCGATCCCCAAAACAAATATAGGGACCAAGGACGTCACAGGATTCCGCCCCATCGTGCTGACCTGCTGCATGGCCAAAGTCTTGGAGCGGATGGTCAACAGAAGGCTCAAGCAATACCTGGAGTCTAAGGGACTGCTTGACCATCGACAGCACGCCTTCAGGCAAGGGTACGGTACCTCCACCTACTTCGCCACTCTTGGAGAAGTCCTGAAGGAGGCACAGGACCAAGGCCATCGTCTCGCTGGACATCTCCAAAGCATTCAACAGAACGTGGACACCAGCAGTAATGAAGAAGTTAGCCGAATGGGGACTAAAAGGACGCATCCTACACTTCGTCCGAAACTTTCTGACCGACCGAACTTTTCGGGTGTCGGTCGGAAACGTCTAATCCAGAAGGTTCAGCGAAGAAACCGGAGTACCACAGGGTTCGGTGATCGCGGTCACCCTCTTCCTGGTGGCCATGAACGGGGTCTTCGACAAGCTACCCAAGAACATATATATTTACGTCTACGCGGATGACGTCCTCATTGTAACGGTGGGCCCTACCCTGCAGAGGACGAAATTAAGGGCGCAAGCGGCAGTCTCCTCGGTGGTCAGATGGGCTGACTCCGTTGGGTTCCAGCTTTCCGCCGGCAAGAGCGTGCGCTGCCATATATGCACCACCCGGCATCGGAACAACGGACAGCCCATCATGATCAAACAGCAAGCGATACCGACCAAAAACACAATAAGGGTCCTGGGAGTGCTCCTCGATTGGAACCTATCCCTCGAGCCGTACTTCCAACAGGTGAAGAAGGGCTGTCGTAGTCGATCCAACCTGATGAAGACCATCTCCCGCCCCCACCGATCCAACAACCGTGAAATCCGCTTCCGAGTAGCCCGAGCCATCATCGACAGTCGCCTATTGTACGGCGTAGAACTAACATGCCTAGCCGCCGAGAAAGCCGTCCAAATCTTGGAACCGGTCTACAACGGATACGTAAGAACAGTCTCCGGTCTCCTGCCCTCCACCCCGACCGACGCCGCGTGCGTTGAAGCCGGTATTCTGCCTTTTCGGCTCGTCTACACCGCAGCTACCGCTACCAAAGCCGCTGCCTTCCTCGCTAAAACGTCAGGAAACAGCAGGATCTTTCTCCTCGACGAGGCAAATCGACTCCTCCGCACGGTCGCCGACGTAGATCTCCCTCCAGTGGCCAGGGTCCATTGGCACGGAGACAAAAGTTGGCAATCACATCAGATCAGAATCGACAGCCGAATCAAGGACCGCTTCAGGGCAGGAGACAACTCACTGGCTTTGCGCCGGACATTCGTCGAAACTCTCGGGACGCACTATCAAGATCACGAAATCAGGTACACTGATGGCTCACTCTCCAGCAGCGGAGTGGGAATGGGGGTTTCAGGAAATAGTTTGGTCGTCAGCAATTCACTTCCGGCCCAGTGCTCGGTGTTTTCCGGCCGTCTTTCACGCAACCACCCTTCCGGCCAATCGGCCGATCCTCATCGTTACCGACTCACAAAGCGCAATAATGGCCCTAACCGATGAAGCACCAAAGCATCCTTGGATACAAGGGACGGTATCGCATGCACCGCCCAACACCGTATACATGTGGGTACCCGGGCACTGTGGCATCCAGGGGAACGTGATCGCCGACCACCTCGCCGGCTCAGGCCCCATCGGACCCAGGTTCTCTGACAATGTTCCGTTCCAGGACATCAAGGAATGGATCAAGCGGACGGTTCGGAGAGCGTGGGACAACGAGTGGAGGAACAATCGAACTCACCAACTACGAAAAATCAAGGCGACCACCGATCCCTGGAAGGATCGACCGAGCCTCAAGGAGCAACAAGAGGTGTCCAGGCTGCGCACCGGGCATAGCAGGGCCTCCCATAATTTCGGAGGAACACCGTTCCGGAACCTGCGAAACCTGCGGAGTGCCAACCTCCGTAGAACACATCCTCATCAACTGTGTGGAGCTCGAGGACCTTCGGGTTGCCTTCGGTCTGGAGGAAACCAGCATACGAAGTCTGCTTGGCGACGAGTCCCCGGCAGCAGACGCCCTCATCGCCTTCCTTACAACATTTGAGTGTTTTCTGTTTGTGCTTTTGAATTCGTTGGCCCTTTTGAGAGTGTTTTTACAATATTTTATATAATTAAGCTAAATGCCCACTTGCCAAGATTGGGATCCTCCTTTTGAGGTCCCAATTCTTTTTTGTAATTTTTAAAAGAGATGAACTAGCCTTAGGCTAAAAATCTCTCTAATAAAGGAAAAAAAAAAAAAAACTTCTTCCATAGCAATACACCAATTCCTATACAAACTACAAACCATTTGTGTGACATCGAAACCATAACCAAGTTTAATGCACAGACTCATATTTTGGGGTAGTTAATCAAACTGGAGAGTGTCATATAAAATTTAATATATTCAATCCTTTAAATTTGTCGAACCTCTTAACGGAATCCTTTGAGCTTTGAGTGGGTTGGTTTATTTCCTTTAAATTCCGTTATAATTGCTGTTCTTTTAACAGATACGCGTATTTTGTCTACTACTTGAGTATTTGGCACTGATGAAGTCTGCAAGTAGTAGACGAAATACGCGTATCCTTAAAAAAAATGAGCAATTATAACGAAATTTAAAGGAAATAAACCAACCTGCTCAAAGCTCTTTACTATATTGTTTTCAAAAAGATGCACCTTAATGAACATCTAATGATCTTTTAAATTTCCTATATCCTGTCGTTGGGTACAAGTAGATACAAATGAAGAGTTTGTGCTCAAAAATTGGTTATTTTTGGATAGAAAAGCGATATATTTTTGAAATAAGCAAAAAAAAAACACACTGTGTCCTACAAAGTTTTGTTCTTTATTGCTTTCTGTACAACTTTGTACAACATACTAAATTTGTAAAACAGCCACAAAAGAAGACACAATACAAAAAAAAAAAAAATACTGATTTTAAGAGCTGATATATGATTATGAATTAATCAAACTACAAATGGCGTCAAAAGTAAATTCCAATAAACTTTCTCGAAGACACCACAAACTTTAAATAAGTTTTAGACCCCTGCATACGGTTGCATTATGGGGTTACCAGAATTGAAAATAAAATGCAACGATATCAAATGCCCAAAGGACGGCCCAATGCAGTATGCAATGTGACCATTTTCCAGCGCACCGAAAATCACTGTTCCACTGTTTAGCTGCCATCACTAATTCTATCCGTTTTCCTTTCAAATTGCAGTGCCGATACCAGAGGCCGGGACGTGACGTCAGCGAAACGGTGGTCCGATGAATCCGTGTTCGGCAATCGGGCGTACTTTCAGTTCGACAAGCAACCAGGCCAGCTGGCAGTAGAGAACGCTCGCGAAGCCGACAGTGGCATGTATCGGTGTCGGGTGGATTTTATCGTAGCGCAAACTAGGAATAGCATCGTAAATTTAACAATAATTGGTAAGTGGATTTGATTTGTAGCGAACCGATTCGCATGAGTTGTCGATGTATGTATGCTGCGAGCTGCTGGACTGAGTGTAGGAACTAAATATGCGTAGCATTCAACGAAAGTACGCACCTACACAACTGACAACATGCTCTGCTCACGCTTCGATCTCGTGGATGTTCATGAACAGACAAAGCGATAGTTTTCCGCGAAGCAATCACTTTGTTGGAAGACAAATGCCGATCCGTTTGTATCCTCCGATTCGATAAATGCTTGGACTAGCAAGCGCCACCCAAGTGCAAATCGTTCAGCTGATAACGCAGAAACCATCGGCATTAATATGTTGCTAGCTATGCCTGATGGAACGAAGACAGATGATTGCTATATATGTGTAGAGGCGGTTATGTTTGATATTTGATTTCAGTTGAAAATGGGAAATGTTTACACATTTATTGAGGATTCATTGGCTGTAGGTATTACAGTTGGAGATTATTGATTTCTATACCTGTTAAATTTATTAAAATCATTCAATGAAATATTGGATATTGCTCACTCTTCGTCAACGAAATCAAGATAAAGTACACATCGCATATCTCATAAGTTTTTTTTTCAAAATCTTGTAAAATTTTATTAGGAACGCATATGCCCAAACAGGCAATTCAAGATTGTATTATATAAAACATCCATCCACAGAATTCATAATATTTCAACGCATAAATAGATCCTTTTATGTGGTCAACAGATGATTTCTTTAATAATTTGTATAGTTTATATTGGCTAAGTTTTCGAACAAAGCTTGTTTTCCCCGATGCACTAGGAACTCAGGAAACCTCACGAAAATTAAGTATGACTAGATCTTGCAATCCTAAAAAGTCGTGTTTCACGGTGTTATGCATATAAATCGGTGAAGATTGAGTCTGAAATGCATTTTTTCAGTTTTTTTTGCATAGATTGGCACTATAATAAATCCAATCAGACCACTGCTTCCCATTCCCTACATCCATTTACACCTTCAAGTACTACAAAGCTCTATCGATTACAAGCATCTATTTCGCATGACTAAATGTAATCCCATTCACTGTCACTATCCGTTACACTAAAAGCACACTTTACTGTCTACTCAAACATCAACCCATTTTTTTTAGTTCGATGGGAAAAATTGAGCAAAATTTTGTGATATTTATTCATGTACCATCCATATTTGATTGTGCTGCTTGTCCTGTTACTTACTCCTGTATCAACGGCTTCTACTATGGCACTTTCTTTAGAATAGCCGTATTCCTGCAAGCACACTGCTCCATATCCGAATCAGACCCATACCGGTATATTGTCGTATTGCTACATGTAGCCAAAAAGCCCTTCCTTGCACGTTCACGTTCGGTGCTGGCGGATTCTTGGGAATCAATTTACAACCGATACGTCAGGATAAAATACCAATATGTGAACATCGGCACAACGGTACCGATAAACGGCTCTGCTTGAATATGCCGAAGCATGCCTTTCAGCCTGAACACGAAGTTGGGTTGGCTGGAAAAGTTCTTTCCAGAATATTGCTGCTCCTCGGAAGCAGGGCCAGCACAACAGCAACGAATTGGTGAAATCATATTTTTAACTACCCCTCAGGCCGTCTATGGCATGAGCTTCACCGACGACCGTGGGAGATACTGTAGGTACTCAGATATGGCGGCTGAGCTAACAGAGTGGAAAAGGAAACCGAAACTGTGTTCCATTGCCGACCGGAGGGGGAAAAGGGGCTTCTCGATTGGGTGATTTGCTTCTTCGCGCGGATTTGGCTTACTTTTTTTTTTGGTTCTAGAAGGAACTTTAGGCTTGGTTGAATCGGGAAATTTCCACACTCAAGACAGACATAGAGGAGTGGGTTTGGCAAGCCGTTCCCAACAATCTGGTCAAAATGGTTCGCTTCTGCGAGGCCTGATTTAAGGAAAAATCAATATTATGCTTGAAAGTTTAATCAACCGTGCGCCATAATTCTAGTCTGCCATCACCCACGGATTTTTCACTTTTGTTCGACTTGCTGTTCTGTGCAGAAAAGAAAGGGTCTTGAATTTAGACAGGACCAGCAAAGCTGTGGTTTGAAAAAATATGAGAGCTTTAAGGAAGAATGGGAAATTGGGGTTGATTTATGTTTTTTAAGATTTATTTGCCGGCAAGGTTGGGTCCAATCTAGAACATACTCATCAGACCAAGTTATAAATGTCTAAACATGGGAGAAGGTTCGCCAGACACATGCTTTAACCATGATCGGTTTTTGATGAATGATAGTTTAATGGCGCATTTACTCTAGAATAGAAACAAAAATACAGAATCTGTTCATCTTTCATTAGGGGTGATTCTAAAATGACGTCCACTCTTGAGGGGGAGAGGAGGTCAAAAATGTGTGACAGCACATGCTTTTTAAAATTTACTTGTCAAGACTCCTATCATATCGATCCGTTGTAGAAAATTGTAAATCTAATTCATATATTCAATATCGTGGTTAGCCAGAACGTCCCTAACGGGTGTAGCAGGTTGATTTCCTCGAATCGAAAGATCGGGGTTGGCTTTAACGCACCTCATCACCCTGCTGCGCAGCTGACGATTTCTGGTTTCAGTTTTTTCGTAAGTCCGCTGATTCCTTTCCACACTCAGGGTTTCCTTGTAGGTTTTGAGCACTCGACAAACTGTTGTTTTCGGCATCTTCGGCATTTTAGCTAGCTTGAAACCGGACCTCTCCGGATTTTCCAGGTGTTGACGTTATTTCTGAACACGATCGACTACTTTGATTAAACTTGCACCAGTTTTTCTCTATAGAAGTGTAAACAAAACACTGTCGAAGATTTTCGATTTCCAACACTAGAGACGTGCTAGCGGCGCGCGAAGGGCGTACTAATTTACTTTGAGACAGCCTTTAGGCGTTAAAACCTCATATCTATTCGTAAAACAAACATGTAAAACAACACCAAATAGGACACAAGATATGAAACAAATACAATATACATAATACAACGGACATGTGGATGAACTACGTTGGAATCATGTTGTTTGGAGTAAATGTGGACGTTTGCCGTGTGACGTTTTTCTGCTGTTAATGTTTGCGTCGTTGCTTTCGGTGGTGTTGTATTGCGTAGGGAACAGTGGCTGCTTACAGAACTATCGAGCAATACTTTTTGAATAAACAATTATCATTGGATTCAGCAATGTTTAATACAACAGAAATAAATTTACAAAAAGCTAGAGTCCTTGATTATCTGGACGTAAAAAAAGGAAGTACGGAAGCATCTTAATGAAATAAAAATGTTGAGCACTCAAAATGAACGTCATTTATTGCACTTTGAAGGAAAAATAGCGAAAAAATTATTCTGATATGATTTTCTTATGTCCTCGTCGGTCTCTGTTCTGCAATCTAATTTCAATCACCGACGGACATCGATTGCCATCCATTGACGGCAATCGAGTGTGCAGGAAGGCAGCCTCCACACACCTGCGTAGGATATCGCACCATTCAAACGCACACATGGGCCGGCTTTACTTCCCTTCCGAAGGAAGCCGTGACCAGAGATTTTTATGCCTCAGAAAAACCCCACCGACCTCGACTGGGATTAAACCCAGACCCATTGGGGTGAGAAAGCAGTCACACTTGATGAAATCTCGAACTTTTCTTCGAATACCAATCATATCATATTTTGGACACTCTGTTGTCTAACCTGAGTGGCCGTTTTGTTGCACCATCTCTTCATCTCTGTCGCATCCCGAGTCACCTTTCCACACTTCTTCAACTTCTGTTTGACAATTGCCCAATTTTTCTCAATTGGGTGGAAATGAGGGCAGTTGGGTGGATTGATATTCTTTTCGAAGAAATGTACCCCGTTGTCTCGATACCACTGTAGAACTTCTCCGCTGAAGTGGCAGATTGTCAAATCAGGCCAAAACTTTGCAGGTCCATTGTGAGCCTTAATTTACGGAAGAATACGCTGTTCCAGGCGCTCCTGCTTGTACATTTTGGAATCCATATTCTTGTTTGTCACGAAAAACTGGATTTTTTGTCCGCAGCTGAAAATTCCTTGCCAGATCATAATCTGCTTTCAAATTTATCGGTAAAAATGAATTTGAGAACTTGCTAGGGACATCACCTCGACCAGCGGCTGTATAGAACTTTTGTCCGGGAAGCTGCTCATAATCCATCTTCACGTACGTTTCGTCGTTCATGAGGAAGAATCCTTCGTTCTTTGTAAGAACCTCATTGTACACCTACCGGGCAAGTCTTTTGCCCACCAGATTCTGCTTCAGTATCATGTTTGGTTGCTTACTGGCCCGGAAAGATCGAAATCCTTCTCGCAGACGAATGCTTCTGACGGTGCTTTGGCTGGCATTCAATTTCTTGGCGATATTATAATACGACAGCCCTGGGTTTGCCCTAACCGTTCTCAACACCTTCAAATGCAGCTTCCGAACTTTAGTTCCACTACGACGCTTGCTATGATCCTGCCGATTGATAGTATCGCAAGTAACAATTCTGATTTATGATGGTTTTATAACGGAAAAGAACAATTTAATTTAAAGACAGCATTTTAAAGTGTAAAACATTCCTGGTTAGGAGTTTAGCTTATTGCTGTTTTTAAAAACCTTTCATAGTCTGTCGAGAAAGTTAAAAACTGTATTGTTTTAAAAATAAATTTAATGAAGCTCTAAATACCTCCATAAAACTGTTCTGTAAATCAATCATAAACTTCCTAAGCAATGGCTTCACACTTAGAAATAACTAATTTTACACGAGATGGAATCCATCTTCGACATAAAAGATGAGACGTAAACAAACATATCATGTAATATTAAGTGCTCCGAGACTGAAAAGTTTGTTTCTCAACGAAAAGTACTTTTGATTGAGCTATATTGAGCATCTGTTATGACTTAAATTTATGTCAAAATTGACGCTCGTATGTGTCACTCTCAAACCACCTAAATTTACCTGAATTTTTCTAAGTGTGTTGATAAAATACTCTATAAAGCTGTTCTG